TGGCGCAGTTAAAAAATTCATTATTTATTCATTTGTGCATAACCAAGTAGACGCGCGGTTTTGTTTGTTTTTTATATAAGCTAATCTGTACTAAAACTAACGATCTTTAATATTTGATATAATTTCATCATGTATCATCATAATACTTGTTTGTCTTTCGGCATGTGTCCGCTCAAGTCATTATAATTTATTCTAGTCATATATCTGTTGAACTATTTGGATCAAAACATTTATTTATTCGCAGACAAAACTACGCAAATATTTTTATATCCGCGAGAAATGAGCAAAAAACTGTGTAGTGTGTTCGACAACGAAATATTCTATAATCACGTCTCTGTTTTACCTGTTTTTTTTATCGGATGTTCCAATAACAATATACAATTTTTTCACTTTTCTTCGAAAAAAGTCACTTTCAACAGTTTCTTCATACAAACCTGGAAAACGTTTCGGTTTAAGTATTTTTAGATTACATGATGTTTCTTTATATTCAAATAAATCTTGAAATTCTTGCCGAAATAAACCGGGACACACGATATTCGTTCTCATACACGAGCTATAAACATCTTTCGATGGATGCTCCTCTGGAGGATGTTGAACAGTAGTTTCCAATTCTGTTGAAACATTACCATCAGTAGAAAGACTTCGTTTGGACTTTTTTACTTCGGACGTTCGAAGTGAATTTGCTGCGCTGTTCATTCGTTTTATTTGATTTTCTCCAATCTCTTTAATACTTATTGGTAAATAGTTGTCTAATGACTTAGTGCCAGTTGGTACAGTTAACATGCGCCATGAACGTTGACGAAATACAGCACATGGAGTAAGACTATCGGCTGCACGTGCTGGTAAATAACTGAACATCGTTAATGTTAGACTATTTCCAAAAAGTAATTTTAATTTTTTCGTTTGTCTGGTAACATATCTGCCTGCTCGTTGAAATTTAGTATCCGGTTTTAGTTCAGCCGGCAACTCAAATGTTGTATTAGAACGAGGAATCCAAATAGCATTTGATGGTAAATAAACACTACTTGATAGTTTATCACCAATTACAACAAATAATGCATCATAACTAGTAGAAAAGTTTTCTCGAGTTGTTTGTAATTCATATGATTCATCAATATATTCAATTTGATTTTCCAGATTTTCTGTTTCTGTCTGAATTTTATCATCACTTGAATCGCTTATCGTTCGTTTCACTGTTTTATCAATTTCATCCAAGTTATAAATATTATGCGTATCTTGTCTCTTCACATCGTCAACGTTGTGAGCAATCGTACTTGTTGTACCATGTTTCTGTTTTTGTTGATAATAAGTTAAAATAAAAATGTTTAACAACAGAAGACGATAAATGAACGACATTATGAAATTAATATTTTTCTGTCAACAATAAAATTTATGTTTTTGTATGGATATGTAAAAGAAAATCGTTTTACACATGGATACTGTGATAATGACATTAACATTTCTATAGATGCAAATAACAACTTAAAAATTTGGAGTTAGAAAATCTAATTTCAATAAATTTCAACGATACAATGTTATTGATGTTAGAAAGAAATATACATAGCAGATGCATAGAAATACATAGTACTGTTGGTATTAGATGAATTAGTCAGCTGAAGTTGTCAGATATTTCTGTAATAGGTTCACGGTACATTTGTACCGTCTATTATGTCTCCAATGGATAAATATTATTGGAAGAAGAGGCAGGCATTGAATTATTCTTTTCGAACACAAGGTTCCATAATTAGTTCGAGTTGTTCGGCTTTCGTCAGAATAACAATTGCTCAAAAGTTTCTTTATTTGCTCCAAAGTCCCAAAGGTCTCCCTCTGCTTGTACGAACTATGAATTTTTTATATAACGTTAATATTGAGCATACCACATGACTTGATAGTCCAAACAATGGGATCTGCATTGTGTCAATATCATCCTGTTGTAGATGATGCTATTGTATGAAGAAACCTCTTGGTTTTAGCGACAATAAAGAGACATATTAATTTTTTTTAACGCACAATGAGAAATTAACATTTGATGTGAATACAAGCAAATAGACACTGTCTGTAAGTAAATTCAACCAGTCTTCCATCAACAAGGGTTGAACCACTGATATACAAAGACTTAAAAAATAGTACATTTGAAGATAGTATTCAATTATGTCACGATCATTCTACAAATGGTTCATTTATCTCACCTCATGATCACTCCGTTGAACAATGGGTCCGAGCACTTGGTCCGGTACTATCGGATATTAAGTTTAAAAGTTGGAATGGTGCAACAAAATGTACTCAAGAATTAGTGATACAAATTTTAAAATTTGAAATACCGGTTTGAGTATTTATTTGTGATTGACGTAAGTCGATATTTTAATTACCTTTTTTCCTTATCTATAGTTGTTAAATTTGAAAGCATTTATATCTGTCCGCGATGAAATAGCGAAAGAAAATGGAAATCGATGTACAACTTACCTTTTATAGAAGTTAATCTACCTAAAATTCCTGTTGTGAGTCTATCTGAGGGATTATATGGCAAACTGTTTCAACAATAAAATGGATTATCATATTTCGAAGACATCCTTTTCTTCTTAGGTTGTCAAACTGAATATTTCATTTGAGATCATTCGTTACGAACATTCACTATACGAGAGATCTTTGGCATTAAAAACGTATACACCACAGTCTAACATCTATAGTGGTAGATCGTTCGTTTGGCGACAATCGTATTAAGGGCCATCATTCGTAGGATCAATAACCAAATAAAAGATCAAAATCTAAGCCGATCTCCTGATTCAATTCGACCTTCGAATAAAATCGTACAAGAATGTCAAATTATTGCCCAAAATCAATTATTACCGAATGGAAAACACGTATGATGTAAATCATAACAACATCAATCATTCATTTTTAAATAAATTTGTCATAATTGTTTCAATGTAGATTAAACCTGAATTAAGTGAAGCTAGTGGAACATCTTCAATTCATCCAGAAGCGGTTTATTCGTTTCTTGGCAAAGAAGCTTGAATCAAGTATAGCGAACGTTTTGATCCACGTTGTGTTCTTGATCAAGAACGATTGTCACACGATAGCTTTAGAAATATTACCGATTCAAATCAACGACTAATGAATATTTGAATTAGTACAACATTCAAAAACTTAGTTAAAAATGATTCATCATATCCTCTATGGGGTAATTCTTTCAGTACTGTTTCACACTTTACGTGACGGTCTGCCGCAAAAATCATGACATATCTCATTTGAAATAGCATGTAATTCTGAGTAAGGATGCGTCATTTAGAAACTTTTGAAATATCGGCATGGGATTCTGGGAAGGTCCGACCAGGGTGACCAGATGAAAAAATTCAAAATCCGAAAAAAAATTGGAAAATCAGAAAATTTCCCTATCAAAATCAGAAAAAAAACAGAAAGTGGATTTAATGCGGCAACTAGACAAACATGTTTCGTTCAACATATACTTTATCAGTCCTTTTATTGAACTGTATTATCGTTTTATGTAGATAGATATCATGTGGATAATATCGTATCAATAGTAATAATTCGGGCATTCATATG